GTCTGCCCCATTCCTGCCTCCCCAGCCCAGCCCCGACGGGCGGGACGCGGCCCCACCGCTCTGCCCTCGGTCCCCCCTTCCCCCGGGACGCCCGGCTGCCCTGTGCTTCACACCACGCGTGGGCTCAGCCGTGGGTTGCACCTGCAAGGAGCAGGTTCCCTGGGAAAATAAAGCCTTTGCTGAAGCCTTGCCAGGCGGGCACCGGGCGGAACGCAGGTTAGGAGGGTGAATTAGTGCTCTGGAGTTTGTGCCCTGGGGAAACGCGGAGTTGCCTCTCCGAGCTTTTCAGCTGCCCCTGCCCTCCCGGCAGCCTGGTTTGCCTGCAGCTTCGCGTTGGTGGCCACCGGGTGAAAGAGCAGTTGTGTAAGGACATGTCACGGAGAAATATTACATTAATAACAAAGTTATTTTCAATTCACGCTGCGGGGTGTTGTCAAAGGCCCAGCAGCTTCGTACAGGAGCTTATGACACAGGGAGTGAGGGATTCACTTTGAGGGTGACTGATTCTCCTTAGAGCAGGCACCTTAGGAGACTAAAATATATCTGCTTCATATTAGCCAGGCTATTCAATAAGGGATAGCTGAGTGTAGCAGAACTGGGTCACCTCTGCAACATTAGATTCCATTAAAAGACCAGTAAGATCTGTAAGTGAGAATACATTTCCCCCAGGACACAACTTGAAGCTCCTCTACCACCAGCCCCTATTTATATCCAAAAAGGAATCGGAAGAATTTAATGAGGGTGCAAACTGATCGTGCTGAGACTTTGTTTCCAACTGAGACCACCGGGGTGTCAGGGTCAGTGAGGGGGGGGCTAAAGCAGCGTGTGAGGAGGTGGGAGTCAGAGGCAGGGGACAGAAGGTAGGGAGGCTGGGGGTGAGGAAAGAGACCAGCCTTCCTCGCTGGAGGATGGTGGTGGTTTGAGCAGGGAAAGGTGAGGCTTGTGCTGCAGCTTGCTAAGTTACTGGGCATACCCTGTGGCTGGGGTTTGAGACCCTCTCATCAAAACAACAGCAAGAATCTCCTCGTGTTTGTGTGTGGGGTTTTTTGGGTTGGTTTGGGGTTTTGTGTTTGTTGTTTTTTTTTGTTGTGTTTGGGGTTTTTTTGTTGTGTTGTGGGTTTTTTTTGTTAGGGTTGTTTTTTTTGGTTTTTTTTCTTGTTAGTTTGTTTTTCCCAAGAGTGTACTAAACGTTTTCTCTTGATCTAATTTAGTTTAAACTCTATGGTGTTATTTATCCCCTATAAATCAGCCTGATTCTCTCTAGGTTCAGGCATCCTTCCTAGAAAATTCCAGTCGCTGCAGGCAACTTGAAGGCAAATTGAAGGAACAAAAACTTTAAAGCAAGCTGCTGCAACACAGCCTGTCAGGCCACCTTGGTCGCAAACTGTGCTACCAACCCAGGCAGAGCAGCACAGAGCATGAAGACTCCTGTTTTGCACAGCTATAACCTTGGCTACCACAGCAAAAACTTTTTACAACAGGTCCTTGGGAAGACAACTGGTGTAGTTCTAACTGCTGATAGGGTCATATGAAGCAGGTAGAGAAGAGCAGTCGCACTGCTTGGCAGGCCAGCCCTGGGTGGGCTGCTGGCCTCCATGAATCCCTGATAATCCACTGGCTGTAGCCAGACTTTGAGTTCATTTCCAGTACAGATCATGAAACCCATCAATGGCAAGGGCAGTCAGCAGATGTGCAAACTACTTAGAATAAAATCTAATTTGTGATGCTGAAAATGTTCATCTGCATAATTTTTTGTTCCTTCAAGTGCCCCGTGCCTCATGTTAAGACATAATCTGTAAGAGTCAAACAAAATCTCCACCTGAAACAAAATCAAAACCAAAATAGTAAAAGAAAAATTTCAAGTGATGAAAGATGGGGGGGGATAATTCTGGTTTCTCATATCTTGAGCAACTTGCTTAATTCTGTTGCAAACCCAGCTGCAAAAATATCTGAAATAGATGGGATTTCATGAAGGCAGAATGTGTCCCTGAACACTAAACGATGTGCATTTGCACTAGTCCAACACTGCACATTTTTCAACATTTAAAAACTTCATTTGCCTTGCAGATAATAATGATTAGATGGAGAAGATGCTTCATGACATCAGCTCAATGTGCTTCAGTGCAGTCATTAAATGGATTGGAGTTTTGCTTCCTCTGTAAAACAGGTAATCCTATGGGGTAATGCAAAGCTTCATCTGTAAAACAGAGGCTGCTTTATAGTACTCAGGGATTCCAAAGTGGGTGGAAGGTAATAGAATGAGAGCTAAAATACATTATTTCTACAAAGGAGAGGGGGAGAAGTCTGGAGGAATGGAGTTGCATAATTAGGCTGGTACTTGCACCCACAGAGCATGTAGAAGGTTAAAGTCAAACCAAGCCCACAAGTGTCTCCAACACAACATGGGCAGCATTGGTTTGTGTGGTGCAGCTGTGCTAAACGTCCAGCAAATGTTGTGTGGCCTCACACAACAGCAAGTAAAAGGGAAATCAACCCCAAAGCTTTATTTCCACAGCAATGCTCTGAAGAGTGCTTGAAATGCAGGGCAAAAGGGAAGGAGAGGGAGAGAGACTAACACTAATTTGGAAAATTCTTGTCCTGCTTTAATTCTATTTATATTAAATACCTGATAGCTGAGGATGAGAGGTTTGCCAGGATGAGAGGTCCTTCAACAAAAGTACCTCCTTAGAAACAAGCAAAAACCATATTCTGCTCTCCTTCTCACTAGGAAATACAGATAAGAAGTCTTCTTTTCTCCCTAGAAATATTTACATTTTCTGTCCCCCCGCAAGAGAGAAAAAGTGAAATTAAAGAAAGAAAGAAAAAAAAAAAAAAGTCAGAGTGAGCTTCTGGGTGATTTCTGTGCTAGTAAGTTCAAATAAACAAGCAAAAAAGCCAACCCAAACGAAACAAACAAACAAAAAAAATTCCTTTTCTCCCACTTCCAGTTTGTTCGAAGATACCAATGAATTTATATTTTTTTAAAATCTCTTTTTGTGCAAACCAGCCATTTTTAATGAAGCCCCAGCTTTGGCATAAATAATTGCTCTCCTCTGCCTGTGGCCATAATGCCTAACTGGCTACAGCAACAGCTTCACATGCAGTGGACCTTCTCTTGTTCTGGGCTGAGCCTCTTTGGTGTGCTCTGGGTAAGGAGCAACATGGAACCAAGCCATCCAAGGGCCTAGGGGTGAGTCTGTCCCACCAACAATGATCTACCAGCCCTTTTTCTGTCACAGTATTGCCTGCCTTTCCACACTGGCCCTGAGCGTGGGTCAGAGGTACCTGTCAGTAGGGGCAGGCAGTGACAGGCCGGCAGGCAGACAGGTTAAAGCTGCCTTTGCAGGAAAGCCTGCAAGTCACAGTTAGCTTCAATCTCCCTTAATGTGCAGCAGTGGGAAAGATAACAGTGGGAACTACCTGGGTGTAGCAACACAATCCATGATGCATCTTCACTACTATTGGTACCTGGTAGAGCTGAGCTGAAAGCACAGAAGCAGGGGGGAGCTGTGCAGCAGCTGCAGCTCTCACTGCCTTAGACAGGGCATCTGTTCCTCCTGATCACTTTTATGTTTTGCAGAGGGGTTCCTTCAAGTCTTTAGTACCACACAGGCAACAGGAGGAGGGGATCCTCCTTGTGTAAAATAGCCTTTAGCTGTCTTGCCTTGCTTATCCTTTTTATTGTTGTGATATGACTTGCTGTTCTGTTACCAGGTTGCCTTATCTTGCAGACAAGGTCCTCCCTCACTGATTAGCACAAGGATTCATTCCTCTTGATCCTGCTCTCCCCTTTTCAGTGCAAAATGTGAGCTGCCTGCTTCTTCAATCAAAGAGATACGGGCTAGAGCAGGATGCCCTGCTCTGCTAGTGAACTGGAGATTTGGCTGTGGAGTAAACTTGTGCTATGATTTTCTCAACTGTGCTTTAATTAATTATCACACTGCTGGCAGTGCCTGCCAAAGTCAGCTAGCTGTCTCGCCAGACACAGCTTTCAAAATGCAATGTCAGGGCAGACACATTCCTGCACCCTTTTGGGGTGGTGGGTTGAGGGAGTGTAAGTCCAGCTCCCTACTCATTGGCCATGGGGCTGCTGTGCCCATCCAGTGTGGTCCCCCTTGCTGTCCCTCACATGGCTCTCGAGCCCTGCCTGCAGTAGGTTAAAGATGACGTTGCCTGAAACTTTTGCAAGGTTACGAAAATGTGCAAGGGCAGGGGGTAGAAAGAGAGAGGCTCTGGCGTGGCTGAGAGTGCTCAATCCCACCAGTGTGCAGGCAGCCGTAGGGGCAGGAGCAATCACCTGCACCTTGCCAGCAGAGGACCT